CCCCCCCCCCCCCCCCCCCCCCCCCCCCCCCCCCCCCCCCCCTCCCTCTCTCTCTCTCTCTCTCTCTCTCTCTCTCTCTCTCTCTCTCTCTCTCTCTCTGTTTTTGAGGCAGGGTTTCTCTGAGTTTCAGGAAATCTGATGCCATCTTTGGCCTCTTCAAGTACCAGGCTCGCATACGGTGTCTCAGACATGTATGCAGCTCAAACATTTATACATGTAAAATAATAATTTTTTGTTTTGTTTTTGGTTTTTCAAGACAGGGTTTCTTGGTGTAGTGCTAGATGTCCTGAAACATCTCACTCTGTAGACCAGGTTGGCCTTGAACTCACAGAGATTCTCCTGCCTCTGCCTCTTGAGTGTGAGGAATAAAGGTGTGCACCACCACTGCCTGGCCTTGAAATAATAATTTTTAAAAATGGTTTAAAACAATAATGTTTGGGACCAGTTTCCCCCTCATCTGGGCCTCAATTTCCTTTTCCTTGCACTGGTATTTTCCTACACGTGTGTCTGTGTGACGGCATCAGAAGGTAAAGTTAAAGACAGCTTTTAGTTGCCATGTGGGTGCTGAGAGTTGAACCTGGTCCTCTGGAAGAGCGGCCAGTGCTCTTAACCAGAGTTCCTCCCTTTTTAAAATTTTTTATGGGCCTCAGTTTTCTGTTCCTTATCACATCAGACTCTCCTGACCGGTCCAATCTTTCAGAAGAAATGGAAGTTGGAGAGCAAGGGGCTTGGCCAGCACAAGCCTAGTATTACATCATGGCCGTGTTCCAGATAGCTCCTTACTAGCGGAGTGTGAGGAAGGAGGGGCTGGAGCTAGTATGCTTCTTACTTTTCCAAACTGCAGTGCAGTATCTTGGCAGGTCCCTAAAGAGCCTACAAGGACACCCCAGATGGACAGATTCCAGAGCTGATGAGAAGACCATCAGGGTCACAGGCCCAGGTACAGACACTGACACACTCACACACTAAAGGCAGTTTCAGGATCCCACAACCACCCACCATGGAAAAGGCTTATCATCACATCACACACCAGAGAAAGTCCAAGAACCAACATGAGTGCCAGAGAAACTCTCCTCTGAATTCACTGATTGCTCAACATTATCATTGCTTTTATAACAAAAAATGGTATGAATTAAATAAACTATGACATAGAAACACTGCAACCAGAAAAATAGGTCTTAGAATCACCAAGAAACTACCATTTAGAATAACTGTGACGTGCCAGGCAGTGGTGGCAACACCTTTAATCCCAGCACTTGGGAGGCAGAGCCAGATAGATCCTCCAGGTTCGAGGCCAGCCTGGTCTACATAGTGAGTTCCAGGATGGCCAGAGCTACACGGAGAAAACCTGTCTTATAAAAACCAAAAAGAAAAAAAGAGAGAAAGAAAAGAAATGAAATGAAATTATAATATCAAGGAAAATGATTACAGCTTTGTTTGTTTGTTTGTTTTTGAGACATCCCTGGCTGTCATGGAACTCGCTTTGTAGACCAGGCTGGCTTCAATCTCAGATCTGCTTCTGCCTCTCGAGTCAATGGATTAAGGCATGTGCCACATGCTCAGCTACAGAAAATGATCATGATACAATGCAAAAAAAAAAAAAAAAAGTCATTAATATCTCACACACAAGAAAACCTATTAAGATGTTGATAACCACTTGTCTTTGGCAGGTTAAATCTGCCTGTTTTCTGCTTCCAGCGTTGCCATGTTCTGTATAGAACATTATTATAGCCAAAACACCAACAGACTCCATATAGTGAATTCCCAGATTACCAGCTGACCCTGATTCCAGGGCAGTGGCAGAACTCTTTCTCTATAGAAAAGATACCAGAGCAGGTAGCAGGTGCTGGCCCTCCTGCCTGCAGTCCCATGGCCTATGACAAATAACCATTATGCTAGCCAATGAGAATACCCCATATAAAACCTTCCAGTAACTTCCTCCAATCAGAGAAGATCTATCTACCTACTAAACTACTCTGTTGTTTTTTGCATCCAGAGGCGCAAGCACACTACTGGTCACACATGCACCAGAGAACAATAGTTCCCAGAGTGGCAGAATGGGCCCACTAGGAACTGGACACATTCAGTGACTAGTCTCTGGGGGCTCAGGGAAGGCTAAAGTGAAAACGCACCAGGGGCGTGTGATATGTGGTCGGGAGTGTTGTCACCTCCAAGACAACTTTCTGCATAATTGTAGGAGGAGGCCCAGATTTGACAAAGTAAGTAGCAACAACCTCCCAGTCCAGCCCTCTAGAGCCTCACCACCATCCATAACTAGGATTCAGGGTCCAGGCTCAGAGATATACTAAGTCCAAGGGTGAGGATGGAGGGCTATGCTCTGCTCATGTGCAAGAGGGTTTACCAGCACCTGCCCTGTTCCCGCTACCCTGGAAGCCTCACGATCTCAGGGCCCCAAGAGGCAAGATACTGCTCAGAATCGGCAAACATTCACAGACTAACACTTCAAGAGGCTAACTCTTGGGGCCTGTCCAACCATTCCTGACACACTGCAACACAGGCATGGACTAAGCAGTGACTTTAGCAGTTCCTCCTATCTTTGGGTTAGTTCTCTCTCAACTAAGAGCTGCAGCAAATGGCATAACCCTACTTATTAGTTGGTTCCATCTGCTGTTGAAAACTAGGGGCGCCCCATGTCTTGGCCAAGTAGCATACATACATCACTAGCGGTCTACACAACATGACATCCATCCTTGAGCCCCACGCAGTAAGAATCTATGCCAACCCTTCCTATGGTTCCGGGGTTCTAGTCCATCATTAACATCACAGCCCATGTTGTATGAACACCTTTTTACCCACATCATTCCACATACTTGGGTGGCTCCTAACTCCAAGCACCTGTCCTGGTCTGAGGACTCAATGCTGAGGAGAGAACTGAGCTCTTCTGCATTCCAGCGTTCATGATGGACTCCTTACCTGATCAGCTCATACGTCTCCCCCAGGAGCGGGTTAAAGGGTTTGCCGGTTCTCTCCCACTGGGAAGCCACTGCCGAGACTGCAAAGGCAGCTACAGACTGCAAACAATTCAAAGACGGATCAAAACAGATTCAGCCAAGACAGCAGCACATGAGTGCACTTCCCACGGGGTATCAGTCAGTCACAGGCACTCAGCCAGTCACTTCCACTCTGCTGACTTCTCAGGTTTCAACTCACAATGGTTTTTCTTATTTATTTATTTATTTATTTATTTATTTATTCATTCATTCATTCATTCAGTTGTTTATCGCAGTGATTTTTTTTCTTTCTTTTTTTTTTTTGGTTTTTCGAGACAGGGTTTCTCTGTGGCTTTGGAGTCTGTCCTGGAACTAGCTCTGTAGACCAGGCTGGTCTTGAACTCACAGAGATCCACCTGCCTCTGCCTCCCGGGTGCTGGGATTAAAGGCGTGCACCACCATTGCCCTTGGCCGCAGTGATTTTTTTTATATAAGATTACAGAACTTCTGGGGAAACTCCACTGCCATGCATTACTTCCTCAAAGTCACAAAAAAAAAAAGGGAACAACATGTTTTCTCCACCACAGGTTGCACACCCTGCAGAAGCTAAAGCAATACCCATGTGTCTGTCTCATACACTGGCACTCCGGTCCATACACTCCCACATAGTTGAACACGCACATGCACAAGTAAATACCCACCACATAAACATATGCACACACGAGGCAGTAGCATGTGTGATACCAGAGGGAAGCCAACTATGTGAGGCTGACAGCTAGGAGTTCTGGTCAGACATCTGGAGAGAATACAACGCTTCCAGATAGCTCACTAGCAGAATACCTTGGTCCCTAGAACTATGGGGTCAGTCAGGCAAACAGTTATAGCATCGAGACTGTCCTCACAGTCATATGCAGTGCCCACCTGCATCCTCTCCAGGGTCTGGGGCTGGTTTGAGGCTTTGTGGATAAGGTACACATGCTCCATGTACTCTGTGATTCGTTGCAGGAAGCTCAGTGGCTCATTGAAGGCGATTGGCATTGTGATCTTGGATAGCTCCTAGAAGGATCCAGAAAGACATCTGGTTAGGTTTCTGGGGCTTCTGGGTATGCCTCAAATGCAAGTATCCTACTCTACTCTAAGTATTCTGAGGATCACTTCCCAGAGCCTCAAACTCCCATAAAGACAAGATCTTAGACACCCGCTGTGGGCAAGCTTTCTGTTGTGAGCACCGGCTTCTACCTTACCCAGCACGGAATGTCTTCCTGAATGGCAGCCACGGCAGCTCTCCATCTCCCAGATCTACATCACATGAAGTGATTACAGGAGCTCTGAAAGAACCATCTTATCTTCCTTCACTCATTCCAGGTGAGTGGTACCAGTCCCACTATTAAAACTTGCCCTTGCTGGGTGATGGCGACACACAACTTTAATTTTAGTACTCCTGAGCAGAGGCAGGCAGATCTCTGTAAGTTTGAGGCCAGCCTGGTCTTGGTCTACAGAACAAGTTTCAGGACAGTCAGGGTTACACAAAGAAACCCTGCCTCAAAACAAGAACAAAAAAACCTTGCCCTCAGCACCCATGGCCTTCCAGTGTGAAATGGAAGCCTTAGCTGGCAGTCAAGTCTGTTTACAATGTGACTTTGCTTCAAAGTTCAGAGTCTGCAAAAGTGACACAGGAATCTTTCCTCAAGCACCATGGAGCACAAGTGAGATTGCAGCTCCTGCCTCCCTAGAGCTCATGAACAGAGGACAAAGGTCTGAGGAGGCACTAACAGGAATGCTCCAGGAAAGGACAGGCTCTGAAATCAGGTGGATTTTCAGGCTTTCTGTACTAGGAGTTAGAATGACCCCTCTGCTCTCACCAGCTCCAATCACTTAGTGCCAAGGCAAAGAGCTTGAAAGAGCGCCCTGGGGGAGATAGAATGCTCAGCAAATTACCAGCGAGACAGCCTTCCTAGCCAGGTCCTGAAACAGCATTCGGGGTGTGGGGAGGGCTTGCTAACAGTGCTGATCTAGGGGGACCCCACTGACAACCCAGAGTCAGTCAGGCTCCGCACAGAGGCTACGTGCCATGCTGAGAGACATCTGGGAATATGGGAGCTGGACAGGGCACTAAGGCAAGAGTTACAAGTCAGATGCCTTCTGGCATAAGAAGTGACCAAAACCACACAAGGAAGTTGCATAAGATCAGCAGGAAGGACAAGAAGCTTCTGACTATATCCACCATATCAACAAGTACAAGAGAGAGAGAGCTAAGGGAAGAAACTCTGAGTCAGTAGCCAGAAAAGTAGAAAGGCAAGAAAACACAGGCTTTATATGCCTTCTGTGATTACATACCTGTAAAGCAAAGCTGAGCCCACGGCCCAGTTAAGAGATCAGAGAGGTCAGCATTGGGCAGGAAGAAACACAGATGGCCCCCAGCAGGAGAGAGGGCTATTTGGGCTCACAAGTACCTGCATGCACACTGCTTCTCTGCTCTAAACCCTCTCCGCCTCTATACCCACAGGCCAGGCCCCACCCCTGCTGGTGGGTACAGTAGCACAGCATACAAAATGGACACTCAGCTACAGCTAGCAAAATGCTAACACATTTCTACTTTGACCCAGCAACCCCACGTCTGGGCACCAATCTCAGCCTAAGCAAACATACATGCAGGGCTAGCCCCTGTAACCTGCTTTGGTCAGCCAAAAGCCAAAAATGGTCTAATGTCCAAAACAGGGCACCATCCCACGGAACTGAAAGACAACCAAGAAAGGGACATGAAGTAGTTACAAGATGACTTTGAGATTGGTGGCTGATGAGAACAGGGATAAAGAAAAGCCTACTGCCTCTCTGAAGGCATGGGAGAAGACTTATACACAGTCAGGGTGTGGGGCATGGGGTAACAGCTATTTGTGGGGAGGGACAAGGACAGGAAGCTAAGCTTCCTAGAACACACTGCCATGCTCTGGATGTGGTCTTAGTAGCCCAAGGCTTCAGTAATTAACTGTGAAGAATTAAGTGGATGACATTTAACTCATCTATGGTGCTGAATATGGTGCCAGTCCTCTGAGGAGTCATTAGGATTAGGTTAAGTCATAGCCTCCATGGTTGACTATGGCAGCTAACTAAGAACAGGGCAAGGGGGCTGATGAGATGATTCAGCATGCATATTATAAAAGAGAATTGAGGGCTGGAGAGATGGCTCAGTGGTTAAGAGCACCGGCTGCTCTTCCAGAGGTCCTGAGTTCAATTCCCAGCAACCACATGGTGGCTCACAACCATCTGTAATGAGATCTGGTGCCCTCTTCTGGCATGGAGGTAGAATGTTATATACATAATAAATAAATAAATCTTAAAAAAAAGATATTTAAAAAAAAAAGAGAATTGATTCCTGAAGCTGTCCTCTGACCTCCATATGCACATGTGTGCATATAAATAAATATAATTAATAATAATAATAAAAGAACAGAGCAAGTGTTAGGGAAACAGCTCTGTGGTAGAATGCATCTTAGGTTCTGGATCCAATCCCCAGCACTTGTAAGCAAACAATCAGGAAGAGAGAGACCAACACACAAGTGTGCATGTCCCTTCCCTGCTCCCCCCATATGACATCCTATGCTACCACAGGACTCTGTCAGCATCAAAGGCATCGCCAGATGCATGCATGCCCTTAGCCTCTTTCCTTCTTTTGAAAACATGATTTTCTGTGTAATATCCCTGGCTGTCCTGCCACTCTGTAGACCAGGCTGGCCTCTAACTCAGAGATCCACCTGCTTTTGCCTCTCAAGCGCTGGGATTAAAGGTGTGAGCCACCATGTTCCAGCAAGCCAATCTTTCCTCTACAGTTCACCTAATCTATGGTATTGTAGTACAGGCAACAGAAAGCAGACTAACACATATTTAATGAATTTGACTTTGGACCTGTATTTTGAAAAAAAAATTATAAAAGGAATCTATAAAAAATCAAAATAAAACAGATGAGCCTGCATGATACTCCCAGACCCATGCACAATCACTCGTGGAAAAAAAAACAGGAAAATTTTGCAATAGGAATTCACAATCAAGCAATTAAGGTAAGGTCAACATTCCTAGTAAGATATATGGACACTATGTGTTGAAATAGGGAGCGGCGGCGGGGCTGCGTCCCCAACACCCCGGCCGCTTGGCTAGCTCATGCCCGAAATAACAACACACAAACTGTATTCATTTAAAGAACTGCTTGGCCCATGAACTCTAGCCCTTACAGGCTAATTCTCGCACCTGGACTAGCCCATTTCTAATAATGCGTGTAAGCACCCCAAGGTGCGCGTACCGGGAAGATTCTAGCCTCCGTCCATCATGGTGTCTCTGCTCCAGAGAGCAGAGCTGTTGAGTCTCCGGGAGCAGAGCAGAGTCTGACCTCACTTCCTCTTCCGCCCATAATTCTATCCTGTTTATTCCGCCCACCTATCTTTTAACCTGTCAGGGCCAGCAGTTTCTTTATTGCTCAGCCAATGAAATCAACAGATTGATATGACACTCCCACATCAACTATGCAATTCTGAGCGAGCACAGACAAGAGCTCCTAGCTTGTGTGTGCTCCTGCCCAAAAGAGAATCTTCCAGTTTCCAGTGCCAGCCCCCATACCAATCTATCTACCCTCAATCACCCTAAAGTTATTTAAAATAAAAGGTTGGAAGAAAGAAGCTTTCTCTGGGAAGAAAGTGTAGAAATAATGATGAACAACAACAAAAACTGGCATTAAAGGAATGCAGGTAGACGCATCTGAAATCTGCCAATGTGTACTTCTGACTCTGACTTGAGCATCTTGTTGCCAAGTGCTGGGTTATGCATGAAATGTGCCAGAGATCATATGGGCACACTAGCTCCTAGCAGTCAAAGAAGACCATATGGAAAGTTAATGGCCACTAGACAGTTCCTAACACAAAGCTTCAGGACTTGACATAAGCTACCTGGAGCCTAATGTGTAGCTAGGCCCCCCTGGTCTCATGCAGAAGGCGTTCAGACCATAAGCAAAGACCACGTCTCAGAACATTGGGAAAAAGGCCTTATGGGACGTCTCCAGCTACCTGCTGAACTGCAAATCGCCGTTCTGCTGTTTCCCTTCCCCTTATCACTTGTTCTTTTCCTGCCCTGCTACAGGATGATAAATATACAGCATACACTCCCTTAGAAACCAACAGTACAAACCTCATGGGAATTAAGGCCTAAGCTCCATGCTTCAAACGAGTTATCTGCACTCACCAAACCAATGCACTTTTTCAGGATACTCCACACGCTGAAATCACTTCTGGTGAACATGGGGGCAGGAAGGGCTGTCCTGTGAGTAATTTGAGAGTAACAAGCATTTATTAACCAATGGAGTATGTAGGGGGGGGTGTTTCTCACAGGAACTGCTCAAGACCATCACCTTAGCTTGAGACCTAAATTATCAGTGTCTCTGAACAATGGGACAACAGGGAGAAGCTAGATCACAGCTGAAACCCTACAGGGTGTCTGTACCGCTGTTTTTAAGTCCTGATAATGGTCACTGGTTATGGCAACCTTGGAGTCCTGACCTAGCTCTGCAGTGACAATGAGCTGGAGACAAGGCTGGCAGTGAGAACAGAATCCCTCTACTTACATCCTGGCTGACTACCCAACCCCAGGACGGTGCACAGAGTTGAGAATAAAGAGTGAAATGAGTTAAGAAATTAGCTATCCACCCCTCTGACACAGGCCTCTCTTCCCAAGGTGTACTCCTTCTCAAGCTACCCTCCACCCAACCAGACCCCAGCAGGAATCTCAGCCTCAACCCCTGCTCTGGCTACCTGGGACAGACTATAGCTCCCCCCAGAAATTGTCTCCATGGGAAGAAGCCTCAGCAGACATCTGACTGCCTTATGGGAAGGAATGTGGCCCATCACAGGAATGCAAAGACGGCATCATAGAAGAAGCCCTCAGATACACATGACTACTCTGAACCCTTAGAGGCAGCTCTAGTTTTTATTGTGGAATTCCCAGTGACATTTCACTGAAATTGATCAGGAGAACAGACTGACTGACTGGGCATTTTGATCCATCCTGGGATAACAATAGCTGGAGTCTGCCTGGTAAACCTCAGAAAGGGCTCATGTGGGTAACTGAGTTGAGACAAGAGGGAGAAAGGAAGTTCTGAGACAAAACAGGAAAGGAAAGAAGTCTAATGTTTACTGAGCCGTATGCACCAGGGCTGCCAAAAATAGCTGGAATGCTGTGCACACCGCAGACTGTGAGGGCCACAAGAGATGGAAAATATGGTTCTGTAGAGGATCAGGGTTTGGTCCCAGGGATACAACCTGTGCAGGTTAGTTTTGTCAGCTTGACAGAACTAGGATTACCTGGGAAGAGGAACTTACACTGAGAAAATACCTCGATTAGACTGCCTATTAGCAAGTCTATACAGGGCACTTTCTTGATTAAGGGCAGATGTGGGAGGGTGAAGCCCACAGAGAGCAGTGCCACTCCCCAGATGGTCCTGAGTTGCATAAGAACGCAAACTGAGCAAGCCTGGGAATAACACAGTAAGTAGCATTCCTCCATGGTCTCTGCTTCAGTTCCTACCTTGGATACCCTGATAATGGTCTATAACCTCTTACCCAAACAAATCCTTTCAGCCCTGACTGTGCTAAGCAGAAAGAATAAGGGGAAGGTGACACACATGATACATAGTGGACGTGAGAGAATCTGAAGAGCTACGTTTAGATCATGGTGACAAGAGAATGAGGCAGTGGTCCTAAACTCAGTGCGGTTTGACACCAGGTGACGTACATTTAGGAGAGAGACGGTGAGGTACAGAGTGAATGTAAGCGCCTTAGTCAGGCCCCCACAACCCATCCAATGTGCTCCTGCACCCACTAAGCACATGAGCGTAGGACAAGAGAAGGAAGGGTGAGGGAACATGCCCTGAAGGTAAATGGGCCCATGTATAAGGTCAGTCATGAGGCTGGAGGGTCCACTGAGGCCCCAAACACCTTTTAATACATATATGTGTAAGGAAGCCTATGTTCCATGGATTATCCTAACAGACTGAGAACATTCCATGATGACCACTGTCATAGTCTAGATACACAAATGAACCTGATGGGGAAAACAGAATGTGGTGCTGCTGCAGCAATGACTCAAACCCTTTCCGTTCCTTCAGGGTCAGCGGCCAGTATTTCTCAGTGAGACACAGAAGGGACAGGAGAACCTTTGCTATCCCCATTAGCCCAGCAGCTAAGTACATCTCAGTAAAACACAAAAGGGAAAATGGGATTAACCTGCTGTCTGTGGAAGGACAGGTTGGTTTGTGGTGGGTGAGGTCTGTCTCAGAGGCCCTAAGCCATTCTGGGACAGAACTATCACTTTATGGAGGGGGAGTCATGGGTCAAACACTGCCCTCCACTGGTCTCCATGCCCCCAGCAGACAGGCATCAAGTCTCATGGGACTTTGGTGGCTAGGCTGCTTGGAAGAGTCATACTGGAACTGGGGGTGCGCCAGCTCAATTCATGAGACCTAAGAGGACCCCTGATAGCACATATGTGGGTGATCTTAGATACACTCTGGAAAGTTCTGAAACAGTGTGTGTAAGACAGTCTACCTGTGTTTCTGAATTCCATTCTCTTGTGGTCTCTCCCCACTTTTGCTGGTATTCAGATCAATCATCCCACTGATTTTATTTGCCTCTGAAAACTCCCCTGTAGAGTTATCAGAATCAAAGCCTGCAAGAAATAAGCAAAACAATCATCTTTACTGGATTTGGGAGATACAGAAGCCTACTTCAAGATTATACAAACTGGGGCTGGAGAGATGGCTCAGCGGTTAAGAGCATTGCCTGCTCTTCCAAAGGTCCTGAGTTCAATACCCAGCAACCACATGGTGGCTTACAACCATCTGTAATGAGGTCTGGTGCCCTCTTCTGGCCTGCATACACACAGACAGAATATTGTATACATCATAAATAAATAAATATTAAAAAAAAATTATACAAACTGAAGCCTAAAGATCTGCAAACCTTTTATCTGGTTTTGTTTTATGAGACAGGGCCCACGTAACCCTGTCCAGCCCAGAACTCTTTTGTTTGTTTGTTTGAGACAGGGTTTCTTTTGTGTAGTCTTGGCTACCTTAGAACTCACTTTGTAGAAAAGGTTGTCCTGAACTAGGAGATCCGCCTGCTTCTGCCTCCTGTATGCTGGGATTAAAAGGTGTGCACCACCACCAACTGGCTGGCCTGAAACTCTTTATACAGACCAGTCTGGTCCCAAACTCACAGTGATCCGCCTGTCTCTGCTTCCTGAGTGCTGGGATCATGTGCCACCATCCCTGTCTGATGATTGTCAAGTGGTACATTTAGAATAATTATCTTTGTTTCCACCTCAGTGTCAGGACACACAGGACTGCTGTGTGGGAGCAGCACCTCCACCGTCCATCGTGGTCTGCTGGGATGGTGGGGATCATCTGAACATCAATAAGGTTGAAGCCATATTTGGGGAATATCAAGACAAACTTAACCAAAATCTCAGGGGTGTTTGGAGTAGTAGATGCTACACTGAGTCCCTGGGTGAGAAGGAACTTCTAGGGGACCTGTGGGCAAGGAGACATCTGAGGTGGTCTCTCCGTGGCAGGCATGGCCTCCCAGGTATGGCTGGATGCCTGCCTGGGGACTCCTCCTCTGAGTATCACAGATGCTGTTCCACAGCAAGCTCCACTTGCCGGCACACACCAATGGGGAGCAGAGAACCAGTGAGTTCCAACCATGGCATACTGAAACGATTCCACTGAGCTCTGGAAATGGCAAGGAGTTCAGTGTCCCCTCTGGGGACCAGTTAGTACACCAGTGCTATATGGGCCAGGAACGGGGCTGGGCAGGGAATGACTACCCATACCCAGATGCTCTAGAATGGAGGTTCTAACAAGCAGGGGGTAGGGAGGAAAACTCTGGTGGGGCTGTAACTGGGGAGCCACTGCAATACTTCAAAGCTGCTGCTGTTTGTGTACCTAAGGTCAAGGACAAGAAATGGAACAGATAAGCCTTGAAGTCCCGTTCCATGGGTAGTGAGAAGTCCTTCACAGAAAACAAAACACATTCTGAATATGGACCTTAAGGGACAGCAAAGTCGGAAACTGAAATGTTAAGGAATGGACAGCTATGACTGAAGAGTCTACAGACCCCTGGGGGACCCAGTTCTGCCAGCACCAAGAGGAAGAGGCAGTTCTTCTCTGCCCCACCACCAACCACTACCCAGGCACAATGGTGCAGACCTCCACTTACAATCACCACTTGAGATTGCTACTGTGAGGGCAGGGAAGTTATTTGTGTCAGAGTATGTGTGCTGTGTATGCCTGTGTGCACAGGTACAGATACAGTTAGGACAGACGAGGGTATCACATGGCTTCCTCTATTACTTTCATTTGGTCTTCTGGGACAGGGTCTCTCACTGAGTATGAAACTCAACATTTTCCAGCTAGACTGGCAGATCAGCAAGCTCCAGAAATCTTGCCATTTCTGTGTGGGCCCCTCTCCAGAATTGGGGTTACAGGCATAGATAACCAAGCCATGTCTAGCCCCCCCCTTTTTTTGAGAGTCTCGTCATATAACTTTGGTGGTTCTTGCTACGTAGACCAGGCTGGCCTCGAACTCACAGAGATCCATCTGCCTCTGCCTCCCGAGTGCCAGGATTAAAGGCATCTGCTACCACCGCCAGGCCTTATATTTTTGCCCACATGTATGTGACTTACATATATACATACAGGCAAAATAGACATGCAAGTAAAATAACTATATTCAGGGAGGTTCTTCCAAAGAGTCCAGCCCCCACTGCTCTTTAATCTGTCTCTTAAGATCCAGTCAAGGTTGCTGTCATGAGAGAAGACATCTTTATCTCTCTAAAAAGCTAATGTCAGGTCTCATCTAACAGACCCCCTGGCCTTGCTGTGCTGAGCCAGGCCAAATCCCACACTGCAGATCCCAGAAAAGATGTGGGCTCTCATAGCTGCTCACCTGTGACGGCATCAAAGAACTCTTCCTCCCCGTTCATCCTTCAGTGACCAGGTATCACTGTTTGGGGGTTTGGGCCTCCTACTGGATCACATCTGATCTATATTTATGTAGAAGCTGTGTGGATACTGGAAATCTGAGGAAGAAATATTTCAGAATGAACTCAGTTACTACAAAGTCTATGTTTTGCAAACATTTATTTCTACTTTTTGGGTTTTATTTGTTTAAGACAGGGTCTCTGGCTGGCCTTGAACTTGTCATATAGACCAAAACTAACCTAGAATCCAAAGATCCTCCCGTCTCTGCCTCAAGGGCTAGGATTAAAGGTGTGTACCACCATACTCAGCTAAACAATTATTCTTGAAATTGATCCAACTGATCTCCATAAGGGCCAGGTGTATTGGCACAGTCTTTAATCCCAGCACTCCCCAGGAAGAAGCAGTAGATTTCTGTGAGTTCAAGACCCACCTGGTCTACAAAGGGAGTTCCAGGTCAGCCAAGACTACACCATGAGAACCTTTCTCAAAAAAAAAAAAAAAAAAAAAAGAGAGAGATCTCATGTCTAAGGGAAAAAATATGAATTATAACAAATATACTCTTCAAGCATCAAAAATGAAAGGATGAATGCCTAATAAAAAGATGAAAAAGAAAGCTGGCCTTGTGGCACACACTTATAATTCTAGAGCAAACTGAGCAGGAGGATTAAAAGTTCAAGGTCTATGACCAATCAGAAGGCACAGTACTGATATGGTGGAAAAACCAACTCCAGCCAGTTTCCTCTGACCTTGCACATCCCTACCTGCCCCCCCCATACACAATATATAAATAAACAAGCAAAACACAAAATAAAAAGTAATTTAAAAAGCCGTCAAAGGCTAGGACCAGGGAGACTGCAGAGTGGTTAGCACACAGCAAGCATACTGGAGCCCAGAAGCCCAGCTCCACATGTGTAAATGGCAAAGCCTGCTGCCTGCAACTGCAACTTCGAAGGTGGGGACCTGGAACAAACTGACAAGCAAGTTTCGGGTTTGATTCAGGGAACCTAAGGTGGAAGAGCAACTGAGAAATATTCCAGACATTAGTTTCTAGAGTCCACATTCATGCACACACTTAAAAATAGAAAGAGTGGGGGGCTGGAGAGATGGCTCAGTGGTTAAGAGTTCTTCCAGAGGACCCGGGTTCGATTCCCAGCACCCACATGGCAGCTCACAACTGTCTGAAGATCTAGTTCCAGGGGATCTGACACCTTCATACCAATGCACATAAAATAAAGTTAAATAGACCATAAAAATGATTTAAAAAAATAGAAAAAGTGAGAGCCACCCACCCCCAAATAAAAGTTCAGGGCTTCCCTGAGCAATTAAGTGAGACTTCTGTCTCAGGATAGAAAGTGAGAAGGCCTTTGAGATAGCCCAGCGGGTAAGAGTACCTGCTACCAGGCCTACGCTGAACTTAATTCCTGGAACCCAAATGGTAAAAAGAGAGAAACAACTCCCCCCAAGTTATCTTCTGAGATCTCCACACGAATGCCACAGCACTCACCCATATACAAAATGTTAAAAAAAAAAAAGTTCAAAAAAAAAAAGAGGGTTGAAAAACGTAGCTCAGTAGTAGAGTCCTTGCCTAATGTGCAGGGTCCTCCTAGGTTTGGTCTTCAGTAGTGTAAAAAGGATTTTTTTTCTAATAACAACCAATGACTAATACACAAACAACTAACTGATAATTAATTTTAAGCTTTATACGTGTGTGTGTATGTGTATTTTAAAAGGTTTATTTATTATGTATAATGTTCTGCCTGTGTGTATGCCTGCAGGCCAGAAGAGGGCACCAGATCTCATTACAGATGGGTATGAGCCACCATGTGGTTGTTGGGAATTGAACTCAGGACCTCTGGAAGAATAGCCAGTGCTCTTAACGGCTGAGCCATCTCTCCAGCCCCTATTTTCAGTTATATTTTAAAGCTGGGCAGTAGTGGCACATGCCTTTGATCCCAGGCAGATCTCTGTGAGTTCAAGGCCAGCCTGGTCTACAAAGCAAGTTCCAGGACAGCCAGAGAAACCCTGTCTCAAAAGAAACTATATATATATATGGTTCAAATATATATATATAGTTCAAATATATATAGAAACTATAGATATATACACACATACATATATTTCATATATATAGCTTATAATATACAGTTTATATATTATATAAACCATAATGTTATTTTTATATAATTATAAATATTTACAGTTGTTCAGGAAAATGACAAAATATTAATTTAGGAAAGCATGTGGGCAGTTAGAGCAGTTTCAACAAAGCTCCAACAACATTCAAAGGTGGGTCTCTGCACAATTCGGGAGGCTCCGCAGTGAGTCCTGAAGATGTCAAAATATTAGCCTCTCATCTACTTCAAGCCAACTGTTCCGTTCTTTGTGGTGCTGGAGACAGAAACCAGGGTCTCACACACTTAGGTGAATATTCCACTATGAGTTACATCTCTCGCCGCAACACTAATTTTCCAAGCCAGAATTAAGACAACTATATAACTTAGTTCTATTACATAACCAAAAGAAGCTTCCATTTTCTCAAAATTATTTTAGCTTACCTATTTTAGAACTCCCATGTAATAATTTCTCCTGTCAGGAAGAATTGTTTTGTTTTGAGACAGACTTTCTCTATGCAGTCCTGGATGGCCTCAAATTTACAGAGATTCACCAGCCTTTGCCTCTGGAATGCTGAGATTAAGTCTGTCACCACAGCCAGTCCAAGAACAGCATTGTAAAACAGTGAAGGAAAAACCCAACTCGTAGCCAGGCTTGCACGCATGCACACATTGAATCTCAGCACTCTGGGGCAGAGGCAAATTCATCTCCATAAAGTTCAAGGCCAGTAGGGGTACTCGATGACTACAAAACAAACAACAACAAAAACCTTCAAACTGTTTCAAAAGGTTTAAATTTTTTTTCTGAACATAAGTAGAGCACTACATGTAACTTTCCAAGTCTCTGCCTGTGAAGCCTGACTGACAGGGAAAGTCCAAGTAAGTAAGTCCTCTGCCCTTGGGGCGGCCCACACAGTCCTAGAGACAACACCCACCCATCTCTGAAGCTTTGCATAATTATAGGCAGCTAAGCTTCTAATCACCAACCAGCAGGCGTTCAGCACCCCCCCCCACACAACGCTTTGGGTACTTCCCTTTTCTTTGCTCCCTTCCCAACAAGAGACACCTGTGAAGCAACACAAGGAGCATCCATAGTCTATGCACGGCTCTGTCCCTGGTAAAGCAGGGAGGTGTGGTTGTACCTAATGTTTAACAGTGCAGAGCCAGCCATCAACCGCCTACAGATGCAGGAGGAAGGTAAATTCTCTGGAGGAGAACAGCTAAAGCCAGGGTGGGCACCATTCTGTCCATTCTGTCCTGCAGGTGGTAAGACAGCCAAATAGGAAAGGATATGCTGTGTCTGTCCCTCCAAGACTGGGCCGGGAACAAATAAACGATCAATGTCATTCTGGAGGGCATCAATTCCCAGTGACAGGCACATTCGCCCTTGAGAAACTAAACTCTCTCCTCCTTTGCCCTCACACAGACTACCTGCTATAGCAGTGATGCAGCAGTAACGACCTCACCAGACCTGGGTACCTTTTACTGCATTTTCCAACATCCAAAATTGAGAGCCAGTGCGTTTCTGTCCACTATAAACAGCCTGCTCTGCAGTATCGCTATAGCAGCGCAGATGAGACAAACTACAAACAACAGCCTTACCAAACACACTGATGCCCAAGTTCCTAAAGACACTACGAAGAGGTGACTGGTCACCTGAAGCCAATGACAAGAGGAGCTAAGGATGTGGCTCACCTGATAAAGTGTGCATCTAGCATGCTGGAAGCCCTAGGCTTGATCCCCAGTACCATGTGAACCCTAATCCTGTAATCTCAGCATTCCAGAGAAGAAGGATCAAGATGAAGGATCAAGACTGTCCTCAGTTCCCAGCCCAGGATCCATGAGGCCCTGTCTCAAAACAAACAAAAAGAGTAAAACTGCTTCTTAGCCCTTGGCTGAGATCAAATGTGGCCATCAAAGCAGTAACACAAAGTCTGTGTATTCAGGGGAAAAAAACACATGGCCAACTAAAGCCATCCTGCTGAGAAAATCTTGCCAAAATGCAGCCCAGCATCTGGCTTCATCTACCAACTTAAGGAAGTGCTCAGAAAAGGATTGTGCTAGACACTGTGGGAGCCCAAACAGCAACACTCAGATTCTGAACCCTTGCAGGCCAGAGACAGTTTCTCCAGTAAACAAGTCACAGGGAAGGAAGAGACAGTGGTAGAGGACAGACATTATCCCTACTGAGCAGCGATTCTATGGCAGTACGTGGCATGCACAAAGGAAGGCATGAGCTAACACACATGCTGAACTATATAAGGCTATATTCTCATCTCAACCTTATACCTCAAATACATACATTTTATTACATATAAATCATTCACTTCAAAGCCACCTTGAAGCCTGGTGTGGTAGCATATAACCATAACCCCAACAGTCCCAAGGTGTAAGCAAGAAGATTAGGTCAAGGTTATCTGACCTATAAAAAAAAAAAAAAAAAGCAAGTCAGAGGCCAGCCTCAGTTACATTGATACATGTTTCAAAAACCACAAACAAACAAGTAAAAAGCTACTTTGAGAGGCTATGGTATAGTTCAGTTGGTAGAGTGATGGCCTAGCATTTCTAAAACCTGAGCCCAATCCTTAGTACCTGAGGGGAAAGCTACTCTAAAAAGAGACAAATGAGCAGAGCAGAGGTAGAGCACTTGGGAGGCAGCGGCAGGTGCATCTCTTAGACCAGGAGAGTAGAGGCTACCCAGAGAAACTCTGTCTTGAAAAACAAAAACCAGAAAAACAACAAAAGAAAAAGACACAAATGCCTGGCAGGCAATGGTGGAGCACAGTTTGAGACCAGCCTGGTCTACGGGATCAAGTTAGTTCTAGGACAACCAAGGACACAGAAAAACCCTGTCTCAGAAAGAGATTTAAAAAAAAAAAGAAAAAAAAGGAGAAAGAAAGAAGAGAGACATAAATGGAGGCCAGACAGTGGGGAATGCCTTTAAGCCTTGAATTCAAGCATTTGGCAAGCAAAGGCAAGCATCTCTG